AAAGGAACAAATCATATCAACAAAAGAATTACAACCGAGCAAATGAATTTTACGATGGATTCCATTTGAGATTTATAGAAAACATATAATTATTAACTATGTTAATTAATAAATTTAATGGTATAAACATAAACAAATTATTAATTTAATAGATGTTGATTATAAATTGTATGTAACCGTAAATATACAAGGCTCTTAGATCACATTTTGTAACAAACTAGAATACCAAAATGTTATTCCACTTAATTTACTCTGATTCTATAAAATGTAGTTGAATCGCTTTTCTTCCATATTATTACAGGATTATTCTTTACATAAAATCTAGTTTTTTTGGCAATTTGCTTTGTTTGGCTTATAATAAAATTTAATTTGACTTGTTAATTAACTCAAGTAGTAATTTCGTATAATTTCTAGAAAGTTTCTATATCGATTAATTTTATATTGAACTCGAAAGTTTCTATATTGAACTTGAAACTCTCCCGGTTAGAAAGTTTTTATATCGATTAATTTTTTCGTTTTATCGTATAGTTAGTGATCACACGAGTCTTGTCGTATTAACTTGCATATAATTATCATATTATTCTCATGTCATTTGAATCACAATAAACTAGACATCAAGAGATTTTCATAAACACAAAGATCAGAATTTTTGGTAGAGATTTGACCCTTCATCCAGTTACAATCTGAACTAAATTGTGTTGGGTGACATCATGGAGACAATTCACCTAATATTTCGCTACGAATTTAATCATTTCCATCTACTTTTATACTTCAGATACTCCTATAAATAGACCGTCAATCTGCTCTCATTCATCACACAACAACAAAAAAACACAAAAAAAAAGTAGAAAAACATTTTGAGGTTTGGAGCATGAAAAACAAGTCTTGAAGATTTAGAGAAGTTTTCTCTTTCTCTTCTCTTTATCTTTATGTTTTTATTTTTTCCATCATTTTATTGATGTCTTTTGATTGTTTCATAGCTTTATAGTAGTAATCTTATTATGAGATAAGTTGATTTTGGTTTGATGAATTTATTCTTAATTGATGATAATGTTGAAATCTTAGATTTTAATTCTTGTTCTTGAACATGATTTATAAATATATTTGAATTTAGATATCTAAACATATTTTGAACCAGATTATCATCTAGAAATCATGATTCATCGAGAAATGATCTTGAATTTTCTAGGAACATTAATTAAACATGAACTTGTAATGATCTTAGAACTTAGGATTCATCATTGATAAATGAGAATCATCTAAATATCTAAGTAAGAAGATCTAATCTTTGTGAAAAGATGATCTTGGATTTGAGTTCAAATTCTACCTTAATGTATATAGATTACATAATCACATCCTTAGTACTTATTCATCGAATTGAATTCATACCAATTCCCATAACGTCTTTGATATTGAATCCAATTTTTACTTTCGAAGATATTTAGAAATATTGTTAAAAACGAAATTTTATTCCTTTAGGATAAACTTTAAGTATCATCGACATAGCTATCTACCTTTTTGGTTGTCCATCTCGAGAGAACTCCAAAGTTAAGTGTGCTGACTTTGGAGTAGTCTTAGGATGGATGACCTCCTGGGAAGTACTTTCCGGAATGTGTGCAAGTGAGGTAAAACACGCTAAAAGGTCTCGTATTGGTGTGTGGGACAACTCTATCATTCCGTAGCGGCCTTGGGTCGTTACAAATGGTATCAGAGCCAGTACTCTCCCAGTATGGTGTGGTTCGAGGACGAACCAGGCGGAAGCTGGTGGGTCTGTGACAACCCATGATACCGTAGTAGGGCGGGAAGTGATCGCCGGTGCGAGAGGCATGAACAAAGAGCGGCTCCTGACGAGCTTCTGGGTAGTGGTACATGGATGAATCGGACGCACCAGAATGAGAGGGATCCGATCACTGTGTACATGGGCGGATGTAGAGAAATATTTAGAAGGGGGCACAATCTAATTTTAATATTCTATATGGGGGCATTTAGCAAATATATTTAAAATTTTATAAATTTTATAAAGAAACTTGACATGTTTTTATGAAATGACTGGGGGCACGTGCCCCCATTCCTCTTGTCTTGCGTCCGCCCCTGGCTGTGTAGGTATGAGACTACATAGTCTAAGATATATTAAATGAATTAATTGAGCTACTACACAGTGTTTGTACCGGAAGGCATGAACGTCGGAGTTTCGAAGTCAGATTTCGATTGGTTCGAGCTTTGATACCATGATAAGTATCAAGAAAGAATGAAGGATTCAATAATGCGGTTATATTCATCTGATGGTTTTACAAGACTTTATACAATTCAGAATGAAAACTAATCTAGATACATTCTAGGAAATACAATCACGTAATACTGATTTGTAAGAACAACCCAATATGTAGTTGCCGAGTTTGGTGTCGGACCAAATCTTTCCTTATCCCTATAATAATATCCTTCACTTGAATATGATGGACATTTTAGGTTTTGATTCGGTTACTTTTTAGTTTAGGATTTTTGTTTTTCAAAAAACTATATTCATTCATTTTTTTTATATTAGATTTGTTTTGATTAAATTACATTTTGGGTTCGGATTCTATTTTATTTATAAAAATATTCATATCCACTCTTTAATTTATACGATGAAGATTTTGGAGATCATCTTTTCTTCCGCGTGATGGTTGGTATTTCGGTTTTCCATTATATATGTATATTTGGTTAATTTAGATTTTGTTTTTATTTATAAAATAATTCTTAATCATTTTTGTATCAGATTTAATTTATTCGAATACAGTTATATATTATTTGATTCCCATACCAACAAAAAATGTACAATCGTAGTCTTTTGTCACAGCAACAAAGTCTCTTGGACCATACAAACACAGTTTCCGAGATTAGTTCATAGAGTCGGACCAAAGATAATAGTATGGATATCCATAAAAACAAAATAACAATACTTTTTAAGAGCATTAAAAGCCAAATGAGGAAACTTGAGGACAAATACTCTGATCGTACACTGCCCAATTGAATCATAACTTCATGGTAGGGCACTGCAAGTCATAATGGTTTTCATATTTTGGATATTATACCAAAAATATTTCAGAAATATATAAATTATTTATAAGATTGAATTTTTATAAATACAAAATTTACTCATACATATCTACAAAAAAATTTTGGTACCATCTTTTCAAGTTTTTATTTATTTTAATATTGTTTCACGTGCGCACCATATCTTTGATAAAAATAGATTTTACATTAGAGGAACACGAACACGGGAAACTGTTTTTTTTTTCAGAATAAATCAAAATCAAAATCAAAATCGAATTTTTACAAGTGTCACAAAATATTTCCACACAATTAAATTAGTTGTAACATACTTTTGAATATCTAGATATGTTGAAAATAGGTTTATATAGATGTGTCCCATTGGACCGGAGAATGTCATATATATATATATATATATATATATATATATATATATAGCACATGCATTGTTTAGGTATCTTGTTCTTGTTGTCCATTTAAGGTAAACTAAAAAGTCCTTTCCTTTCCAAGAACGCGACCACACGGATTCTTTGATACTCTTATCATATTTTTGGGCAAAGCCGTTTCCTGTCCAAGAACACGACCGCACGATTCTTTTACCCGATTCGCTAAGTGGTCCAATTCTAACAATCAAACTTGGTTAGAGAAGGGAAAAAAATTAAAAATTTACTTATTTAAAGTGTTTCGATTAGTAATATCGAAGAAAAACCACGTGTGCAAGTGTTACATTGCGATTTTTTGGAGTACAATTTTGATTTTGGACCAATTAATTATTAGTAAGAGATCTCAATTCCAAATCCAAAGTTTTCGATTACCATTCTTTGCTCTCTCTCTCTTTTTCTTTTATTAGGGTTTAATTTTTTTATTAACAAAAATTAAATCAATTGCAATATAAAACAGTATGTGAATCAGAAACGATGGGGCCAAATAGAAGACCGTCAGAATTGGTCTTTATTATTTACTTTTTATCTTACAATTTAGGGAGAATCGCATTAAAAAAAAATACATATTTGTTTCCGTCATCAATTTACTGTCTATGATTTTTTACGAATATATATTATACATTATGTATATGTGTGTATATGTATATATGTATATACATACATTTATACATGTGTATATATATGTATGTATGTATGTGTATTATTTTTTTGTTTTGTTTTTATTTCTTTTTTTCATTATTCTTTGTTTTATTATTATTATTGTTGTTGTTGTTGTTAAGTTTATATATTTTGTAAATATTTTGTCACGTCATTTTTTTCTGTTGGTATATTTTGTAAATATTTAACGATAGGGATTTTCGGACACTATTGAAAAATATAGGGTATAGAATTAATTCGAAAAAAAATACAAGTATTAAATTGCAACGCTGGAAAAAATACAAGTTTTTTTCCCAGTAATTCTCCCTATAATTAAATATCTCTAACTTTTTATATTTTAATATCAACCCCATATTTTGTATATTTTAGCATGAAAAAATCGAATAATTAAATAACCAAAACAGCAATATTTCAGCTAAAATCACTCTCTTTCTGACCGGCCATATCACATTTGTCAGCCTCTCACGTCGTCACGTTACAGCTATATGCTGACATCTCTTTTTTTTTAACGTACTGTACCTATCATTTGGTTAATTGATTATTATAAAATATATATTAAAATATATAAAAACATAAATTCAGTATTAAAACACGCCGAAAAAAAAAACTTGGCGATACTAAATTTTCCAATGGGAAATAGCACATATACAAAAAAATTGCAATTTAAATACAAACATTAAATATTAAAATATCTAAAAAAATAAATTGGATATCGAAATATATTTATATTTATATTAGATTTTCTGCTACTACAGTATATTATTGCGTGAAGGGCCCGTCGGTCCAAGCCGACAGAGGCCACGTGTTCGCCCTAGTTTTATGGATTATGACTACTACTATCCTCAATAGAGGCATTATATGAAAATGAAATGATTCATAGCCAACAATAAGATATTTGATTAAATAACAAAACATGCGAAACCCCCCCAACTAAATTGCCACAAGGAAACAAACAAAGAGACAACAAATATGGCATATTCGGATAAATAGGATTAAACCCTTTTAATAATAATGATTAATTAAAAGAAAAACAAATCTAAGTTTTGTCGTTTGGAAGAATCAAAGATCGATCTTGACAGGATATTTGTGCAAGCTATCTTCCCAAGGGTTCTTGGCCGAGGACTTGACATTGTTCAAAGCCACCCAGACCGCGCTGTTGCACTTGAACCCCGACCCTAATGCGATCTGCCAAATCCTGTCCCCTTTCTTCATCCTGCCCTTAGCCTCTATGTAAGCCAGCTCGTACCAGACCGAGCTCGACGATGTGTTGCCGAACCGGTGCAACGTCATTCTGGAGGCCTCGACATCTATCGGCAAAAGCCGCATGTTCTTCTCGAGCTCATCGATCAGGGCCCGACCGCCTGCGTGTATACAGAAATGCTCGAACGCGAGCTTGAAATCCGGCATGTAATTCTTGATCTTGGCTTTGAACAGTTTCTTGGCGGTGAAAGCGGCTAAGAAGAGAAGCTTCTCGCTCATGGGGAGGACGAGTGGACTGAGCTTAGCGATATTTGTCGTTAGGGTTTTGCCGGCAACAGCGGGTAAGTCCTTAGAGAGAGAAACTCCGGTCCGGCCGCTGTCGTCTTCTTCTTGGTAAGCGCATCTGAAAGCTTTGTCGTCAGCTCCGGTATGGGTTCGGACAGTGTGAACTAGCTTGTACTTGGAACGTGTACGGTCTCCCAGTTTGTTGGAGAGCAAGACAGCAGCTCCCCCGACACGGAACAAGCAGTTGGTAACCATCATGGACTTGTTATTACCGGTGTACATGTTCTGAGTGATGTTCTCCGTACTGACCACAACCGCATAAGTGTTCCTATGAACTCGCAACAAGTCCTTGGCAAGATCAATGGCGATTACACCAGCACTGCAACCCATTCCTCCAAGATTGTAACTCCTTATATTGCTCCTCAGCTTGTACTTGTTCACTACCATGGCGGATAGCGATGGAGTCGGGTTGAACGTGCTTGAGTTCACGACCAATATTCCGATATCACGAGGGTTAACCTTCGTATTCGCGAAGAGATTGTCGAGTGCACCGAATATAACCTGCTCTGTCTCGGCTCCACCCCCCGC